AGTCAAAAAACAAGTTAAACTGTCAACACTGATACCTTTCTTAAAGCTTAAAACAATAGTTCACTCAAAAAAATGAAAGTTTGCAGAAAATGTACTCACCATGAAACTATCCGAGATGAGTTTATTTCTTCATTGGAACAGATTTGGAGGAATATAGATTTTGGAGGAATCTCTTGCTCATCAATGGATTCGCTGCAGTGAATGGGTGCCGTCAGAATGAGAGTCCAAACAGCTGATAGAAACATCACAATAATCCACAAGTAACTCATACGACTCCAGTTCATTAATTAACTTGTTGTGAAAAGCTGTGTTTGTAATAAACAAATCCATCATTAAGCCCTTTTTGCTTCTGGCTAAAATACAAGTCCTCTATCCATAATATTGCTTTCTCCAGTGAAAAAGTCTGAATCAGGTTAGAAATATGCACAGATCAAGCATGGTTTACAAGTGAAAACAGTCCAAAACACTTCTAAACAAATATGATTTTGATGTGAGAGGATAAGAGATGATGGACTTTTTTAATAGAGGAAGCATCATGCATTATGGACTGTTATTTTAGAATAGTAGCAATGGAAGCAATGGCTTAAATAATTTTTTTTATTACAAACAAACAACTTTTCACTTCACAAGATGGAGTGGAGTCACGTGGATTACTTGTGGATTATTGTGATGTTTTTATCAGCTGTTTGAACTCTCATTCTGACGGCACCCATTCACTGCAGAGGATCTGTTGGTGAGCAAGTGAAATAAAGCTAAATTACTGAATCTGTAATGATTTAATTCCATTAAAGGTGTCATATGATGTTGCTAAAAAGAACATTATTTTGTGTATTTGGTGTAATGAAATGTGTTTATGCGGTGTAAAGTAAAAAAAAAACATTATTTTCCACATACTGTACATTATTGTTTCTCCTCTATGCCCCGCCTTTCTGAAACGCGTCGATTTTTACAAAGCTCATCGGTCTGAAAAGCGAGGTGTGCTCTGATTGGTCAGCTATCCAGTGCATTGTGATTGGCCGAATACCTCAAGCGTGTGACGGAAATGTTACGCCCCTTACCATATTGTGATGCCTTGTCCGGTCCCGGCGCGACGAGACAAAAACATTAAAACCCATTATAAACGAGGCATTTGTTGCATCCAGTGGG